TCAGATCTCTCACTGCCAGGGTAATTGCGCTGGGGCACCACTTGCCCACCAGACATTTCAGCGCTGGCACAAAACCCATCTTCCTTACACTTGCTGTCAGTGCGGGAACTCACCCCACGCGTCATTGGGATTTTCTTTTTTCACACCAGCAGCTCTCCAGCAGCCCCCGTGCTTCACCAGCAGGTGAAAATCTCTCACGCGGCGGTGCTGCCCGTCCTCCTCCCCGAAGCCTCCGGTGGTGAGAATCACGTTGGGTTTGAGGAGAACAGAGCGGTGCCCGTAGCGCCTGAGGCCGGGGGCGTCGGGGCGCATGGCACACGCCGTGGCTGTCACGCTCCCAGCCGGCTCGATGGGACCGTTGCAACGAGGAGCTGCGAGAGAACCAAAGAACAAAAAAACCCCAAAGGCGACGTTTTAAACAGGAGGTTAAGCAAGTCTGCTCAGCTTTCCAAGAAGAAAATAAGCATGAAGCACGTCGCCAGGGCTCACAGACCGCCGGACACACCCTGGAAAGTTTAAACCACCCCCGAGCTGATTTCCAGCCTCTGCTGATTGCTCCCTCTGAGGGTGGAGGTGAGGCTGGCCAGCAGACCGCAGGGTCCTCAGCGCCTGTCGCGACGTAGGAATCGCTGCAATAGCTTCCCAGAGAGCCCACGTAACCACGGCATTCGGCTGCTGAAATAGCAAAGAACAGTGGGAAAGGACAAGCACCTGGAAGCCCAATTTCAAAGCTTCTCGGCCGATTTTGATCCTGCTTTCACAAAAGCACTGAGGCGGGATGAATAATCTGTCAATTCCAACAGCCCTACTGTAAGAGAATATCTTCCCTCTAAATGCCACGTCCCTCGGCAGGAACCGAGCTTTCAGCACAGGCCTCTCACTCACCTCCGCATTGTACCACTTGTCTTCGAATTAATTTTGAACTCAAGTCACCTTTGTTTCAATTAAGTGCCCTAATCTTGTGCTGATGAGGTGGAGAAGCAGCTCTCAGTCTTTTTTTTTTTGCATGCCACACCCAGAAAAATTGCCTGTACTGAATGTTGGTTAGTACCACATCGTACTTTCTATTTTTTGACAAAGTTAAAAATTCCATCTCCTTGGGCTTCCCTGTCTTTCTACAGACAGATCTTTTTAAGATGGAGGTGTGGGGCTTCTCATTTCAGAAATGATACTTCCCAGGCTCCATTGGGCAGATTTCGTACTTGCACTCCCTTGAACAGGGACCCAGATCTATTTGAGAGGACAGCTGGGAGCACACCCCAGGATCCGAGACGTGTCTTTTGTCCTTCCCAGTCAAAAATAATATCGAAGCCTGGTTAATTTACAGACCTTGGAGGCTCTCGCTGTCGGTTCTGAACACAAGAGACAGCAGCAGCAAACCCCAACTCCTGTCTCTAACGAACAAGCTGCACTAAGGTCAGTCAAGCAAATGTCAGAAGATCTTCTTTAACTGAAGGACAGACCCCGTGCGTTCAGGAGCCTTTCAGGGTGTGACCTGAGGACAAGGGACAATCTCGCAGCACATGGAACCACAGCCACACTCATGTAGCTTCGGTTTCACCACGTTTTCAAACCTGAGACACAACCCGATGGACGCAGTGGCCTGGCTGGTTTAAGGAACACCACCCCGGCTCGTTCTTTTCCAGCTGCTTTTCCTGCTCCCCAGGACACAAATCCCGACTGTCAGTTGCAGACAGAACTACTCGCGGTGCTGTCCCGTGAGCGAGACAAGTGATGCGAAACAGGTTAAAAATAACCTTCTGCTTCCCCCCCGACAAAGGAATGGAGCAGCCAAAAGCAGAATTTCTGGGACTGCTACTGCTGCCAAGGCCTTTTTATTGTGGAAACACAGCCTTAGTCTTGGCTGAAAAAAGCACCATCCAGATTTAAAAGCATTTCAGAAACAGAAATCCCAGAATCACAGAATGGCCTGCCCGAGGGCATCCTGCTCTGGCACGGGGGTTGGACGAGATGATCTTCGATTCTACGATTTTATGATCTAAGCTGGAAGGGACCTCAGAGATCATCTAACCCAACCCCCCTCAACCAGCCCAGGTTGCTCCAGGTTCATCCAACCTGGCCTTGAACATCTCCAGGGAGGGGGCAGCCACAGCCTCTCTGGGCAATCTGTGCCAGAGTCTGGCCACCCTCACACTCAACACTTTCTTCCCAAGATCCAGCCTAAACCCCTTCTCCTTAATTTCTGCACCTGCCATTTAAATCCATTTCCCTTGTCCTGTCGCTGGACACTCTTGTCAAAAGTCCCTCCGCAGCCTCCCTGTAGGTCCCTTCAGGTACTGGGGGACAGGACTCCAAGCAGAGCCCGTGCGCGATGGGAAGACGCTGCGAGACCCCATTGGGCTGTACCTGTCACGCTGGGTAACAACGGGGTCCAGGGAGGCTCCAGCCCCTTTGACGCGGCCAAGACAAAGTAGTGAGAACATTTCAGATGCCACTCCTGTAGCAAACACAAAGGAAAAAAGAAAATTAAAAACCAAACACCCAGGTCAAAATGTTTGAGTGAGCAGCTGTAAGGATCTTGGAGCGGGCAGGGCGACCAAACCGCAGGCTGAGCCCAGCTGGCACGGCTTCCAGCAGCGGCCAGATCAGAACACCGAAGCTGAATCTGAG